ATATATATATATATATGTAATTATGAAACAATATGCAACAAAACATAAGGTATTTAAGAAGTACAGTAACGAGGCATTGCTGCTAAATTGTCTTAGCCCATCTTTCACTCGCACACTCTCTTCTCTCCTCTTTCTCTCCTCTCCGTGGTTGTCAGGCCGAGTCATCTTCCACATCCCTGACTGGCTGCATCACCTGCTAATGACCGGCAGGATCCTGTTCAAGAACACACTGGAGGCCTACACAGATTACTACCTTCAGTACAAACTGAACCAGGTGGTCCAGGAGCACCGGCTAGTGTCACTCATCACCCTGCTTAGAGGTACGCTGCGGTTAGTTCAGAGATATTCACATGAATGTGATAGTAAATAGAGTGGTATTGGTCTTCTCTTTTAATTCTTGAGAAAAAATGTAAGTGTATTTCACAAACATGCTAGTTTAATTATAGCATGAGTTGAAATCATGTACGTAATCTTTTACCTTCTAGACACAGTCTTCTGTGAAAGCAGTCTGCCCCGCTCGACTCAAGACAAGCAGAAGAGGGCGAAGAAGACATTTGAGGAGATGATGACCTATATTCCAGGTATTCATTTTACTTCTTCCAGGTGGTGTTTTGTAATTTATAGACCCCCTTACTGCAGACATTTCCACTTTCCACAAAGACAGATGTACTGACGTGAAAACAAGTGGTCAGTTTTTTGTGCCAGGTGGGAAATTCATATGCTATTTATCTTTAGACTTCCTGGGGAAATGCATCGGAGAAGAGGCCAAGTATGAAGGAGTGCGTCTCCTCTTCGATGGACTACAACAGCCAGTTCTCAACAAACAGGTACACAAGCACAAGGACACTCACTCACACACACACACTCCCACACAGCATGTAGAACACATTCCTCATTTTCCCACACTGTTTGTACTTCACTGCTGGGAAATGTATCTCATCAAGACAAAAAAAATGTATCTAAGGGAAGATGTGATAGGCAATGAATAAGTGGAAATGAATTTGAGTCTGTGTGGGCTCTGCATGCCTGTGTAATATTGGATGTGAAAAAACACAATCAAAATTCACCTGTTTGTTTATCTAAAGATCACTTATATTTTTTCTTTGCTTTTTTGCTTCTTGCCTTCCTCAGCTGACATATGTGCTGTTGGACATTGCCATTCAAGAACTTTTCCCTGAGCTAAACAAGGTAAACAGATGCTAGCCTTGGTTTCCAAAGAGATATGGTCTCTTCACATCCATCCGTCCATTATTTGGACCAACTATAAATGTGTTTATTAAGCTATATAATATCTGTAAAGGCCATTATTGCACCTGGTATAAATGAACAAATGACCGAATTAATGACTGTATGATAGTGTCTGTTATATGAGAGATCACAGATACCCCTTTCCTAGCATTAAGCATAAAGATTTAAAGTTCAATCTTTAAATCACTCTATTTTCTTTAGTTTAATATAATGATAATACTAATATGCTTAATAATAGGTATGCCAAACTCTTTATGACTCCATTTAAGTTATTGGAACTCTACACTGATTGATTTAATTTATATAGTTAATTATATATAGTTACTCACTTTTATCATACAATGTCAAACAACCTGTTATGTAATGAAATGTAATGTCTTAAATTGATATTTCATTGTGGATAAATCACCTGTTGTCCAGTCGAGATTGGTTGTAGTGATACAATCTTGAAGATTGTGAGAAAAATTCAGATTTCTGCTCCATAGATAGAAACCATATCTTCTATATTTTTATTTTCTCTGTGCATATGTGATATTAAAGCTGTTTTTGAGTGTATGGTGTAAATGTATGGTAAATACATCACTACAATATCCCATAATGATGTATTTTGGGCTGTTGAAATGTACTACTTTTGGACTTTGGACGGTATAAATATTTTTATTGATAAGATAATACATATTTCCACTGATCAATATACAACAACAAACATATACTAAAGCAGCAAGCAGCGTTGGGCGGGATAGGCGAAATTTGACACGTCGTCACGGGCACGCGGTTCGACGTACAGTCACAAATAGCACAACTTTTCATCTACAGTTTGTTTTGATTGTACTGACCAATTTTGAAATAAAACCCAAAAACCCGCCTCGGACACGCCTTTGGCCCACAGTAAATATTTGATTAACTTGTGATCACCAATGTGTCTAGATTGCAGTGATCGAATTTGAAGTCAATCTGATAAAATCTGTAGGAGGAGTTAGTTAAAACAGAAGCCCTTAAATGCCGG